GATGAAGATTTGAGAGTGCTCGGAGTCAATTGAATAAAGAAAGACATCAATGGAATCAAATTTAGTCAAAAAATGATCACAAATCAACTTCCAACCGAAAAGTTATGCTCCGATGTTTTAGTCTCATATTGAGACCTATTTTTGGCATAGAAAGTGATCGAATTGAAGAATGATGTTTGAATTAAAGTTGTAGTCAGATGAGTTAGCTTTCCAATGCATTTTGAATCGCCTCAATCGGATATCGGAATACAAAGTTATGATAAAAACACTGAAAAAAAGTGCAACTGTCTGTTTAAAATAAGAAATTTCGTTACATAATCTGTTAAAATAACAAATTCCGTTAATTTTTCCGTTAAAAATAAGAAATTCCGTTACATAGCCACTTTTAATATATAGAAGATATTCATACAATAAAATTTGTAGATAACTTCAATTTTTTCCTATTTTTTAACTGCATATAGTTAATTATATATTTTTTTAATTATTATTATTTATTTTTATTGAAAAAAAGTCACTTATTCTTAAAGTAATAATGCAGGGACTACTTCCATGAAGTAAAGGCTAAAACACGTTACTAGTCCACTCACGAGAAAGCCGTCGTACCATCATAATGTATAATTTATACAGAAATAAATTGCTATGGCAAACATATAAAAAGTACAGGAAAAAAGGGCAAAAAAACAAATAAATTTAAAAGCGTGTTTGGTGGAGGAAACAGTGAATATTGGTCAAGCTAGAAATATTTTGTGGAGGGGTGGAAAAAGTAGCAAGAAATTGAATTGAGGTTAGGTAAATTTTAATTATCTCTGGATGGGAAAATGTCTCGTCCTCGCCCTCGCCCTCGCCCTGATTCTTATTTTTTTAAAATGCTTTTTTTTTTTTTTGCATTTAAATTTAGATCCTACCCAAAAAGAAAAAATAAATTAACAAAAAGTAAATGAGACGGTAAACAAGGATATTTTAATCCTCGTCCTCTGAAATCTCCCGAAACCCCCCATGGGCCAAGATGAAGAGGTTGGTCCCAACTCCCAACCATGTTCTCGTCCCATCTTCATCCATGTTCATGAGTTTGGCTTGTGGGAACGAAGAAATAAACTATAATTTGCATATAGATAACAACAATTACATTGTCATGTCGTATATTTTCACTGAAAATTGACTCGTATCAGTAAATTGATCAATTTGAAACAAAATTTAAGTTAGATAAAACGACTAAAAAAAAATGTAATGGCAAGCAAAAAAAAATGTAATGACAAGCATTAAATGCCATTAAAGTTCAATTTTTACTAATGTATTCAAGCAATTATAAATGTTCGTCAAATCTTATAAAAAACAGGTTGAACCACAATCTTGAAGGTCCCTCACCGCCCCGCCCCGCCCCGCCCTGCCCTAGAGCATTGTGGAAAAGATAAATTGTGGGATGTGTCTCAACGGGTCAGAGTACGAGAGCTGTCATGCTGGTGCCACAAAGAGTCCAATCTTATAATTGTGTATATGTTGTGGGTTTCAGTGAACGAGTGGTTAAATATAGATTTTTGAAAAAAATTGTATCTTATGAAATGTGTAATCAAAATCGAGTTTGATCGTCTTATAAATAATCATAAGCTTTTAATAGAATTCCAACGTAATCGTAAAATGTCAACTTCATTTTTCCTCCTACTTTTCCATACCAAACTTTTCTTACTTCTACCAAACACACTCGTCTCTTGCTCACATTAATCATGGATGCAACAACTATATTTTCTTAATCAATAAACAACACAAAAATTTGCCCTAATAAATAACTAAATCACATCACGAGGAAAATGCCATCGAGTCACCAGCCAATAATATTCAGCCACGTTCAGGAGTGAGTTATTTGCTGTACCCAAGACCATGTGCATCCCACCAACAGGTCCAACTGCTCTTTACGCGTAAACGTTATCACGTGTTGATTTCTTGTTGATTACGGGAACGTGCAATAGCCTTCTGCCTCATAAAATACTTTATAATAAACGGGTGTATGTGCGTGGCCCACCTTTCGGCCGTGCCGTTGAAATGCATTGCAATACTTTACCGCGTTGTTCGTGACGCCGTTATCTCATCTCCTATTTGCATTAAAAAGAATTTTTACAAAAAATGAATTTAGAAATATTTATTTTTTAAGAACGTGTGGTAAAAAGAAAAAAATAAAAATAAATTAAATTTATATGTTAAATATTTTATTGTAAAAATGCGTAATTAAAAATGAATTTGAGAAAACATAAGTTTTGGATTAATAAGAATTAGAATATTTAGATATTCAAAATAATGGAAATTACATTAAAATGTGAATTCAATAGTTTCAGCTAATGCCCGTGATGTACTGATATCTTTTATGCAACCCAAAGGTCAAAATATGATCTACTAATATCTTTTATTGCAACCCAAATGTCAAAGGTTTTGCTACTTGTACACCGCCCCGGTGTACAAACCCCATAGAGAGGGCGTCCATGAATTTTTTTTGGATGTGAGTCATTCTAGTTGTTACGGGACCGTACACTGGGATGTCAACCCTAATGTACAAAACCCAATGTCAAATAAGCTTTAGGTACGGGAAATAAGATATTGAATAAACGATTAATGGGGCTACTATTAAACACTTGAGAAAAATCAAAATAACATCCGTCTCCGACCATATTTGTAATGCCAAATGTCCAAAAAGGAGATGTAACATGACAACTTGTCAATCGTCCTTCGGAAACATTGGATACTTTTGTTTAGACTATAGAAATCCTAGAATTCGACGACTTTATGAGTAAGGACGATGTTACAAGTATATATCAAGTCTTACATAATGTCATAGGACACTCTATCATTTGCAATTTTAAAACACGATCAGTTTTTTCATCCAATTTTTTTCCCTCCACATCATTTCGGCCACTTCTTCTAGCTTATATATGTGTATATATATAGGACAATGTTACTTGTACATTAAAGTTTATGTAATGTATCAAGGTTGAGAAAAAGGCAAATTGATTGCAAGAATGGTAATAAGGCCCTGTTTGGGAAGAATTAAATTTTTCTACAATAAATCAATTCTCATTTTCAACCACACATTTTTCAATAAAATAAAATATCACATCAATAAATTTTTCTTCTTTTTCAACCACACATTTTCCATCATATCACTATTCAAAATCAATTCTTCCCTCAAAAATCTCTCACAAACAACCTCTAAGTAATTGACAATGATCAGGGTGGTTGAAATAAAAGCTGCAACTTTGAGTAGTGCGATCAGCCTGGAATTTGTAGTGTTCCATGTGAAAAATCGAAATGGAGTAGATGGTTTTATTTTAGACATTTATATCGTGTACTGATTCATTCAATTAGAGGTTGGCATAGTTTAATTCGATACGATTAAACCATGTGTACAGAAAAAATTTTAACAGAAGTTTTACACCCACTAACATGTGTGGGGCCCACCGAAATAAAAAATGAAAAAAATATCCACCCGCCCCCCGTATTGTGCGTATCTGATTTTCTTAAGTGAAACCATGCTCGCGTACATAAAACATGGTTCTTCAAGACATGACACTGAATTGAATATAACATGGAATGAAATGATTTTGTGAGTGGACATTATTGACAAGACATTCACATTAATGATTTATGGGAGGAATCACTTAATAAGTCTAAATTTTATTAATTGATAACACTGCCTCTGTGGGAGGAATAAACCCTGAATTCTGAAATAAATGGAGTGGGTCATATATACACACACACATCTATAATTAATTAATTATAATGGAATTAATACTTGAATCAAGTAGGTGTTCAGTGAAGGAATCACATGCTCAATAGGTCTTTCTAGTTATTATTAAATCATTCTCAACTTTGACTTTGGAAACAATTAGGGCTATTTGATAAAAAAAAAAAAAAAATTAAGAGTCAAAAACTATTTATACGACTAATATTTTACTATTGAGCCTCCGTTTGACACCCATTATTTTGAAGAATGAGTTTTTGAATAGTGATTGATGTAAAGAATATGTGGTTAAAAAGTAAAAAGAATTTTTGGGTTTATGTGTAATATTATTTTATTTGAAAAATGTGTGGTTAGAAATGAGTACTATAGAAAAATGAGAATGAGAATAAGATAAAAAATGGGTGTCAAACATGGGCTGAATTTGTTTGGATAAGTTTCTAGAAGATTCTTTTTTAATCTTCTATTCTTACAGAAAATGTTAAGATTTTAGTTTTGATTCCTGATGGACCTTATCGTCAGGGCGGATGAAGGGACTAGGGTCGAGCTGTAACTCGATCCAGTCCTTAGTCCATTTAGTTTTTCATGAGTAAAAAATGTTTTTATGCAATTTTCTTTTTTTAGCCATAGATCTTTTTAGTCCAATCTTGAATTCTCCCTTATTTCTTGTGTTGCATTCATTTTGAGAAACCAATTTTTTCTTGGTGCATTTATTGATTGATTTATTCGTTTATTCTCTACTTTTAACTTTTAAGTAGTGCTCTTAGGATACAAGATGTCATTTCTTTGTACGGGGTTTATGCCATTCTGCCTTTGATTACATGTGTGAGGGAAAAAGCGGAAAATAGTTCTCACGTCGAATAAAAGAACGATATTTTCATCTATGAAGGACATACATGCATAAAAGATGAAATGTGAGGTACTTAAATGTCATAAAAATTTCGTTAGAGATTACATTAATTAAAGGTTGATAACCCCAATTTAAAACAGCAAACAAGTTGTTAACGGCACGTAACGGGGGCAAACGGCGTAAATTTGCAGAGAAAGCGGGGGCACGAACAAGAACGGTGGGACCTGTAAATTCTTTTAAGAGCTAAAGAGCCCCATATGTTCCTCGTGCTTTTTTCTATTTTTATCTAAACCTCTTTAAATCCTCCATTTGCATTTCATTTAATTTCAACTACTTGTTCACACATACAGAGAGAAATATCCGTTGAATTTATTGATTATTTTTGAAGTGCAAGTTGCAATCTTAAAAGACATATAAGTTTTTCAGATGGGTCTATCGGAAATTGTGGATTCCGGCAGGTTTTCCAGCCAGAGGTCCAACTTTTCCCAGAAATGTAGTTTGTTGAGTCAGTACTTGAAAGAGAAGGGTAGCTTTGGAGATCTTACTCTTGGACTCGCTCACAATTTCGAACCAAAAGGTTAGAATTAAGCCCACATCTCTGTCTACATAAACCCCACCCAATTCCATGAATAACAAGCAATCAAATCTATAATCTATGAGCTCCTAGATCTGTTTTTAATTTTTTCTATTTCTGGGTTTTTAGATTGAGTGAATTTCCTAAAATTTTCTCCTTGTTTTTTTTGTCAAAAAAGGAGCTCCAGCAGCAACTGGAACCATGAATTTCTTCCCAATAATGGAGAAATCCGGGGCCTCGATCCATAATTTATCTACTACAGAACTCAACACGCCCGCTATCCCCCAGAAGAAGACCAATCTCAGGTATAATTTGTTGCATATTGAATTTATGGCTTTATTATGCTAAATTTTCAACTTATAATTGTTTGATTTGATTTTACATGACAGTGGGACAAAATCTGAGCCAGAAGCTGCACAAATGACCATATTCTACGGCGGCCAGGTCATAGTATTCAATGATTTTCCGGCTGAAAAGGCAAAGGAAATCATGCTTTTGGCCAGCAAGTCAAGTGCAGAAAACCACCCTGCCGCCGCCGCCGCCGCCGCCTTTGCTCCGCCGAGCATGGTCCAAAGTCCTGCTGAATCCGCCACCAATATCCCAGCTGCCGTCCCTGTTTCAAAGGCTGTTCCCAGTTTGGTCCACAACCCTCCTCAGCCAACCCTTGCCTCTGGTAATTAAGCTGCTTAAAATTTTGTTCTAATTTCTCAATATTTTGAATTCTTGATTTATTTTGAAGGGGGGATTTTTCTAATTTATATGTAATTTCCTTCCATTTGCAGATTTACCAATTGCAAGGAAAAATTCTCTAGCCCGGTTCCTGGAGAAGAGAAAAGATCGGTAGGTAGTCGATATTAAACACGTTTGTTTAGAAACAAATCGACAATCTAAACAAATTCATATAGTCGACTCTAAAATTTCTTATCATTATTTGATTTCAGGATCACATCAAAAGCACCATACCCAGCAATGGCACCTCCAAAGGCAGTTAAAACTGAAGAATGGCTTGGATTGGCTCCTCAATACCCAACTTCAAATTGAGTTTTAATGAATTATAATTTGTATTTTAGGTCCATTAATCATTCTATATTAGTTTACTTGTCTTGATTGAAAGCCAACTTGGTTTCATTATTGCTTTGTTAAGTAAATTTCTAACTAATTAATCTGTGCAAGTATTTATTTTAGGATAATAGAGAATATTTCCCTTTTCAATTCAAGCCTATAGTTTTAGAATATTATTCTTTTTATCTCTATTGCTATCCTATTCTCTTTGAATGGATGTTTGCGGTGTCTATTTTTTATGACATCATTATTCTTGATTTTGCTATTGATTTAGATGGGAGGCACGCGTGTGAAAAGTAAAATAAATGGATAGCACGTGTGTGAAAAGTAAAACACGTTTACTTACCTATTTTTACTTACACGAGTTTAAAATTTGCAAAGAAAAAGGAAAACATCAAAATGATAAAAAGAACGTATTTTCAGCAATCTCAAAATGGAAACTTAAAACACAAAACTAAAAATTGAAATACGAAGAGAACAGCCCCTTACGTCTTTGGGCGAATTACTATGCATTGAGAAATAAAGGTTTACATCATTCTCATTCATTGATAAAAAGTATGAAAAAAGAAGAAAGCGAAAAGAGATGACGGATTTTTTTTTTATGTGCTTTCTTTCTTTTTTTATATTTATTAAAAGACGATAAAAATTGTCATTTTTACGTAGCGAAAATAGGAAAACATAATTTGTAATTAAATTAAAGGTTGAAAATGTCTGACGCTAGAAGAAATTGATTATAAATTAATAACAAATTACGAAAAGTGGAACCCAATCAATATTTTTTTCCTTATTAATAATTAACGTGTTTTTAACTTTTTGAGTATTTTAAAAATTTACAAAAGTTATATTTAAAAATAAAATAATAATGATGGCAAGTGGGTAGGGAAAGCCGGAAAGGGTATTTGTTTGGTGGCCACTCACATCCTCATCCATTATAATATTGTATTAAAGAATATTTTATATTGTCACATTGTTCACGTCTTGTCTTTCGGTCATTGTCAATGATGGAACAATATTATGGGGGTGGGTGGGGTGGGGTGGACGGGTGAATATATTTATTTATTTATTTTGGTAATCACATGGTGTGTTTGAATTTTGGAGTGGCTTACTGTGGATATTTTCAAAAGTACTTTCTAGTCGGTAAGGGTCACCTTCATTTGACCCATTCTCCTCTACACTCAGGGCCTCACGCCAGGTTTGATACCTTACTTTTTTCATAGAAAATGGAAAAACAATTCCATTTCCACCCATTTGTGATGCTTGATAGCCAAAATTTAGCTTGGAAAAAGTTTTGCCAGCCCCTTGTCCACGCGCCTAAACTCCTTGAAATGAGGGAAAGGTGGGAAAATGGATTCCAACTTGCTGGCTCTTTTTTTTTTTT